TGCAAGCTCAGGTAATCCTCTTGCCTTGGACTCCCAAAGTGCTGCGATTACAGGCTGAGCCACTGCGCCTGGCCCCAGCTAATTTTTGATTGATTATAGAGATGAGGTCTCACCAAGTTGCCCGGGCTGGTCTTGAACCCACAGGCTCAGGCAATGCACTTACCTCGACCTCCCAAAGTGCTGGGATTACAGGCTGAGCCACTGAGCCTGGTCTTAATCTACCTTTACAGGACAGATCTGCTTATCCTGTTTTATAAAGGAAACGTATGATTTGTAGGAGACAGAATAATGCCCCCCTCACAGTGTATCTATACCCTAATCCCTTGAACCTGTGAATATGTGAGACTGCACAACAAAAGTACACTAAGGTTGCTAATCAGCTGACCTTAGATAGAAGATTGTCCTGGCTTATACAGGTGGGCCCAGTATAGTCACAAAGGTCCTTAAAAGAGGGAGAGGGAGGCAGGAGTCAGAGTGCTGCAGTGTGAGGACTCAACTGGCAGTGACTGGATGTGGGGATGGGTTAGGGGCTGCAACCAAGGAACGTGGGCAGCCTCTAGAGCTGGAAAAGTGAAGAGACTATCTCCCTAGAGCCTCCAGAAGGAACACAGCCCACCAATGTCTTGATTTTAGCCCAGTAAGGCCTGTGTCAGCCTTCTGACAGAGCAGTTAGGAAATACATTGAGTTATTTCAGCCACTGACAGCAGTAGGACATGAGTGGACTGTTCTGTGTATTGAAGTTAAATAGATACAGATTTCTCAGTGTCTTGGTTTAAAGTCTATATCTTTTGAGGTAACATACCACCAGCTACAGCATCTTCAGCTAGGCCGTGGCTTGTCATTCTCTCCACAGAAACACTGCACGGCAAATGGATGCTCCCAGCAGTGTTACCTCATACTGCAGGTTGGCCCTCAGTTCTCTCTTTGATCCTCTCGGGTTGACAGAACTCTGCATTCCTCAAGTCTGAGCTCCTCTGGAGATCCTGCCTGCCTGGAAGCAAGTGTCTATGGCAGTGCCGCAGATCGTTTTGTGCTGCTACAACAGAAGATCTGAGACTGGGTCATTTGTAGTGAACAAAAAAGTATTTTGTCACAGTCCTGGAGGCTGGAAAGTCCAAGATCCAGGCACAGGCATCTGACAAGGGCCTTCTTGTGGTGTCATCACATGGCAGAAGGCAGGAGGGCAAAGAGGCAAAGGGGGCCTAGTACTCACCCTTTCATAACTGCATTAATACTCCCTATGGGCACCAAGCCCTCATGGCCTGATTGCCCCATGAGGCCCCACCGTTTCATACTGTTCCAGCAGGGCTTCGACTTCAACATGAATTTTGGAGGAATGAGCATTTGAACCACAGCAGACAATGTCAGTCAGTGCTGCAGCTGGTGGAGCTACCACAGAACTGGGCAAAGTGCCTAAACACTAACAGGAAGTGGAACCTGAAGCCAGACTCACAAGGAGTCAGAAGCTCATGATGTGCAGGGAGATGTCACACAGCATGCATACTGACGGAAGAAATGTTCTTTAGACATGGTCCCTGATCTTGAAAAGTATCAGATGGGCTTTTGCCCATGTCATTTGTCCCACCATTCTAAAGAGTTCAAAAGCAACAGGTTTATAGTTTTTGAAAGAGGTCAGCTGGGCATGGTGGCTCACGCCTATAATCCCAGCACTTTGGGAGGCGGAAGTTAGAGAATTGCCTGAGCCCAGAGGTTCGAGATCAGCCTGGGCTACTTGGTGAGACCTTGTCTCTACAGTAAATACAAAAACCAGCCAGTTTTTGCTCATAGTTTTGATTTTGGTCACACAACTCTGAGTATACCAGAAGCCATTGAGTGTATGATGTAAAAGGATGAATCATGTGGTGTGTGCATTATATCTCAATAGAACTACTTTTTAAAAGTAGGGCCGACATGGTGGCTCATGCCTGTAATCCCAGCACTTTGGGAGACTGAGATGAGAGAATTGCCTGAACCCAGTGGTTCGAGACCAGCCTAAGAAACTTGGCGAGACCTCGTCTCTGCATTAAATCAAAAAATTAGCCTGGCATGGTGGCGCGTGCCTGTGGTTCCAGCTACTTAGAAGGCTGAGGTGGAAGGATCACCTGAGCCTAGCAGGTCAAGACTGCAGTGGCCATGATTGTGCCACTGCACTCTAGCCTGGGTGACAGGGTGAGACTCTGACTGAAAATAAAATAAAAATTTTAAAGTAGGCATCAAGGCCTCTGCCTGATGGAAGCATAGCCAGAGCAGTGCTGGACTTTGGTGGAAATAGCTGAGAGTGTTTAGATGTGTGGAAATGTCTATTTGCTGGCATGCGGCTGGCCTACTGTCCGGTTTCCAGCCTAGTTTTCTGAGGTTTTCAATTCTTGAATATCAGTGCTAAGATTGCCATACTGATCAGTGGCTCCGTGATTTTTTTTTTTTTTTTGAGTAGGAGTCTCACTCTGTTGCCCAGGCTGGAGTGCAGTGGCACACTTATAGCCACTGCAGCCTTGGCCTGCTAGGCTCAGATGATCCTTCCACCTTAGCCCTCGAAGTAGCTGGAACCACAGGCACACACCACCAGCCCAGCTAATTTTTTGATTTACTGTAGAGATGAAGTCTCAACAAGTTGCCCAGGCTGGTCTCGAATGCCTGGATTCAGGCATTCCTCTCGCCTCAGTCTCCCAAAGTGCTGGGATTATGCACCCAGTTGGCTCCATGGTCTTATTAGACAGTTTCTGGTGTGTTTGGAGGTTTCCATTTTTCCTTTTCTTTCTAGATGTGTCCTTGTTCTGCAGGGACCTTGGCCAGTTTGGTAACTGAGAGGCTGTGATGCACTGCAGGGACAGCCACATGCCACCTTGCCATTGTCCTCTGCTTTTCTTTTTTTTTTTTTTTTTTTTTGAGTTGGGATCTTACTCTCACCCATGCTGGAGTGCAGTGGCATGATCAGAGCTCACCACAGCCTTGACATCCTGGGCTCAGGCGATCCTTTCGCATCAACCTCCCAAGTAGCTGGGACTATAGACACGTATACCACACCTGGCTAATTTTTTAATTTTCTTGTAGAAACAAGGTCTTGCTATGTTGCCCAGGCTGGTCTTGACTCTGAGTCTCTTTTTCAGGCCCGTTGGTACCATGTGAATGGCTCGCTTACTGGACTTAAGATTCTTCTCAGTGTGTATTTTTGTAAAATGAGAACATGGTTTGGCAGGACCTCTAGTACACCATCAAGTGAGCAGTAGTACCGTTTGGGAATCTTTCATCTTACTGGATTCACTGTGCTGCCTTACAGGTTATAGCTCTAGCCCAGGTGCATGAGGGGTGGGGAGATGCAGGAGGTTCTTGTGGCAGATGCACAGGATGCTGATGCCGGCTAGCTTGTTAACTGGCAGTGGGATCAGCTCCCAGACTGGTTCCCCTGGAGCTGCGGTCCTTCAGCCATTCCAGAGGCCCCCATGCCCAGTGGCATGGTGGTGACTTCCCTGTGGCAGTGGAAACAGAGCCACCCTCCCTATAGCTACTGGCTCCACAATGTCAGCACCTTCCCATCTAGTAAGCTCCAGCTCTTCCTGAGCAGTGAGAAGAGATGAATTAATCCTTAGGAACCAGCCACTCAGCAAATTATTCACAAAATGATTATTGATGGTCTTTTTTTTCTTCAGCTCAGAAAGCCACAGTGGGGACGTTGTGCTGGTTATTGTATAGAGTCAGAGCCCGCAAAGATGGACAAGTATCTGATTTAACAAGGAAAAGAGAGCACCCACTCCCCTACAGAGAATAGCTCTTTGGTATATGCAGTGAAGGAGTTACCTCTAATAGGAGCATGGAGGCGAGCAGGACTCGCTTGAGCTGGACTGACTGTGGTGCTATGCACCTGCAGGCAAGATCATGGATGTGCAAGGCAGAGGGCCAGTCGTGGGAGGGTGCTTGGTTATGCAGGTGGGAGCCAAGCTTTGGAGGGCTTATGTGCCAGGAGGACCTGTGAGACCTGGGTTCCCCTCTGGGAGGTTATTGAACACCTGCTGGAGCTGGACACTGCTAGGGTCTCATCCTCATGGCAGTCCTGGAAGGTGACTGTCAATATTCCCATTTTACAAATGAAGAAAATGAGTCAGACCAAGTGGTTTACCCAAGGTCACATAGCTAGTGAATGGCAGAGTTGGAATCTGATCGGTTTGTATTCCATCTGCACTGTTTTTTTTTTTTTTTTTTTGAGTTGGAGTCTCACTCTGTCGCCCAGACTGGAGTGCATTGGCCGTTCCCGGCCACCGCAGCCTCGACCTGCTGGGCTCCGGCGATCCTTCCACCTCAGCCTTCCAAGTAGCCGGAACTACAGGCATGCGCTACCACGCCCGGTTGATTTTTTGATTTATTGTAGAGATGAGGTCTTGCTGCCCAGGTGGGTCTCGAACCCGTGGGCTCAGGCAATCCACTCACCTCAGCTTCCCAAAGGCGCGGGATTACAGGCTGAGCCACCGAGCCCGGCTTCCATCTGCACTGTTATGCCTGCATTCCCTCCGAAGAGACAGACCCTTGTGGGAAGCATTGAAGATACTTAGAGTGACATGAACTGTTAGGTTGAGCCGTTTGAAGCACCATTTTTGTAGGTCAGGGTCATCAAATACCAGCAGTGCCATGTGGCTCAGCCTCACACTGCTGCAGTTGGGGCTTGGAGAGTGAGAACTCCCCGGGCAGGTTCCCCAGCATGTAAAACTGCCAGAACCTGCTCCTGCCCGCCATTTTAGTCACTGTCCCATGACTCTACTGCTGGCCTGTACTGCTGCCCAGGCCCCACCTTGCTCTCTGTTCTCCAGTCTGTAGCAGCCTGCACTGCAGGGGTTTCATGGCAGAGGTAGGACCGGAGCAGGTCCTTGACGGGTCTGTGAACTCTGGATGAGTAGAAATAGGGTGGGAGAGGGCAGGGGGTAAGGTGGGGGGAGAGGAAGGAGGAGACCCCTGGCAGGACACATGGGTAACCTCCCCTCTTCTGATCCCTGCCATGCTCTTCCTGCAGGAAACAGGTGAGCAGATTGCCATTAAGCAGTGCCGGCAGGAGCTCAGTCCCCGGAACCGTGAGCGCTGGTGCTTAGAGATCCAAATCATGAGGAGGTGAGGCTTGATGCCAGTTGCTGGGAACCCGGGGGCTGGGGACACGCTGAGCTTGGTCTGCTGCAGAGGCCCTGCCGTGTCTGAAAGGAGAGTCCTACATCTCAGGCCTTTGGTCTGCAGGCCAGCTGGACCATCGAGGGAGGTGACTGAAGGCTTCTGTAGGGGTAACATTTCAAGTCTTCCTTGGACCCTGTCGAGGGCTTTTGGGTCAGTTTTGTTTTGTTTTTTGAGTTGGAGTCTCACTCTGTTGCCCAGGCTGGAGTACAGTGGCACACTCATGGCCACCGCAGCCTCGACTTCTTGGGCTCAGGCTATCCTTCTGCCTCAACCTTCCAAGTAACTGGAACCACAGGTGTGTGCCAACATGCCCGGCTATTTATTTATTTATTGTAGCGATGCGGTCTCGCCAAGTTGCCTAGGCTGGTCTTGAACCCCTGGGCTCAGACAATCCACTCACCTCTGCCTCCCAAAGTGCTGGGATCACAGGTGTGAGCCATCGCACCCAGCGCTTTTGGTCAGTTTTATTTGTCATATTAAACACTTTAAAATAGTCATCATGGCGAATTTTCTTTTATCAGCAAAAAATTCTTTTTCGCTTTGTCACCAATTCCAAGGCTGTTCCAAAGCTCCAGTCCCCTGCTGTCACACCATCATTAGCATTTATTCCTCCACTGTGGAGACAGGTCCCATCTCTCCACTAGATGGATGCTGTCTTCCCGGCTAGTAAGGTTCCATAGGAGTCAGCTTTGGAGGACAGCAAGCAGGTGCTCCCTCTGCTAGCCTCTTTAAAAGATCAGGTGCATTTGGTCACATTTACAAACATGCCAAAAAAAGAGCAGGTGCCACTTGTCTCCCTCCTGGACATGCATACATATCCCTGCATGAATGGCAACAGTGGAAGTCCCCTGCCTTCTCTGCTCTTAGGAGCAGTTTCGTAGAGCAGCGAGGGCTTGTGGTAGGCCCACCAAGGATGAAGTTACGCTCCATATGCTCAGTCTTACATTCTGGTGTGGGAGCCAGTGGGTGCATGCTGAGGTCCGGTGCTGAGGGCGGCACCCTGGGCCCATCTTCCTCTCTTCACCTCCGAGGCTCTGGTCATCTCAGGGCTTCATCAAGAGCTAAGCCTTGCTGAGACATGGGGATGGTTGGTACAAAAACTTGGGTTCTGTGCTCATTGGCTTTTCCTCTTTCCTAGGCTGACCCACCCCAATGTGGTGGCTGCCCGGGATGTTCCTGAGGGGATGCAGAACTTGGCACCCAATGACCTACCCCTGCTGGCCATGGAGTATTGCCAAGGGGGAGACCTCCGAAAGGTGAGGCTTCTGGGGGCACAGGCAGGACATGAGGGGCAGGCAGGGGTGATCTCACCGCCATCATCAAGGAGCCAGTGAGCTCAGTAGGCTGCTTGTGCTTTTCAGATCTCCCTCAGGCCCAGCCCACATGGTGTATGTGAGGCAAGAGCCTGAGTTGAGCACTCACAAGGAAGTCAAGGAAGGACTTTCTGTGACTTCTGCTATGTGACTCCTGAAGTAACAAGGAAAAGCCATTCTGGTTTTGGACCAGAGGAAGGACTGGGCGAATTCCAAGACAAACTCTTCTTCCTTGGTGTGTGGAGCTGCCTTGAGCCTCTGGTGTCAGCACTGCTGCTGTCCTTTTAAGAGGGACTTTCCTGCACAACTGCAACCTCGCCACATATAACACAGGTGGTGTGGCTGGAAGGGAGCAGGCCTAGTCATGGGGGTAGGGGAGACTGCGCTGTGGTCTCAGAATCCCCACCCCCATCCCCTGACTCACCTGCGGGGCTTCCCCCTGCCTTCTTGCCATGTCAGTTTCTCATTCCTGGAACATACACTTCAAGGGTGACAGCAGCCCTCCCTGGTCTGGGATAGTCCTGGGTACCTCGTCCCAGATGCTCCTGAGACAGCATCACACAACCTGCTTTTGCACATTAGCTCACTTGACTTCCAGCAGCCCTGTGACATGAGAGGATAGTACACAGCCTAGAAAGGTGGGGTGGTCCCCAGGCCTCACAACTGCCACAACAGAGCCTGACGACGGCCCACGTGGACCCAGCTGCAAGCCACTCTCCATCTGTGAGGCTGAATGATGCTGTGTAATACTACAAAAAATGAAAACTCTGAGCAAGAGTTATTTTTTTATAAAGTTTTTGTTTTATTTTTATTTGTATTTATTATTATTATTTTTTGAGTTGGAGTCTTACTCTGTTGCCCAGGCTGGAGTGCAGTGGTGAGCTCATGGCCACCGCAGCCTCAACCTGCTAGGCTCAGGCGATCCTTCCACCTCAACCTTCCAAGTAGCCAGAACTACAGGCATGTACCACCACACCCAGTTAATTTTTTGACTTATTGTAGAGACAAGGTCTCGCCAAATTGCCCAGACTTGTCTCGAGCCCCTGGGCTCAGACAGTCCTTTCACCTCGGCCTCCCAAAGTGCTGAGATTACAGGCGAGAGCCACCATGCCCGGCCAGAGTTTTTTTTTTTTTTTTTGAATTGGAGTCTTGCTCTGTCGCCCAGGCTGGAGTGCAGTGGCACACTCATGGTCACCCCAGCATCGACCTGCTAGGCTCCAGTAATCCTTCTGCCTCAGCCTTCCAAGTAGCCAGAAGTACAGGCGCTCGCTAACATGCCCGGCTAATTTTTTATTTGTTTTTTTATTGTAGAGACGAGGTCTCGCCAAGTTGCCCGGGTTGGTCTTGAACCCACGGGCTCAGGCAGTCCACTCGCCTCGGCCTTCCAAAGTGCTGGAATTACAGGCTGAGCCACCAAGTCCGGCCTCAGAGTTATTTTTAACTAGGTTGCTCTGGGGGGGAGCAGATACGTTCAACTCAGGAAGGTCTGTGAGTTGAGGTAGGCACAGGGACATCCATTCTGTCTTTATGTGGCCTTTCCCGGATGCGCTTTGAGTGCTATTCCTATCACTCCTCTAGGTCTTATGCCTTCTTTTTTAGAAGGGAACTTTCCGTGAGGTTGACCTGCCGGGGTGACTCCTGCCATCAGGGTGGGCATGTTCCGGGGAGGGACACTCATGACAGGATGTGAACACAGTCCTTGGCATGACCCACGATGAGAAATGGAGAGCTCAATGGCGCTCTGGTTTCCTCTTTATTTTCTTAACCTTTGATAATCATCCAATTACTAACGGCAGTTGTATAGAGATAAAGTCATGCTGTCATGGTTGATCAGTGAGCTCTCAGAGGGCATCAGGAAGTAGGGGGCTGTGCAGATAATGAAGGGCTCTGGGCTAGGGCAGAGGGTTTTGGACTTGCTCTTCTGGGCAGCAGAGAGCCAGTGAACCAGGAAAGGAGATGAACCTTTCAGACTGACCTAGAGTGGTTGCCAGGTGGAGAGGGAGGAGGAAGGATCACATCCTAGGGGCTTCTGTCCTTACTGTCACCTGGGGTGCTGTGGGAGGGCACTGTTGCCCAGAGCTCTTGAGACCTGCTGTTTCCCGTGTTCCTTCCCCTCAAATGTTTATAATCTATACCCATGGGTAGGGAGAGACAGGTTTGGCCAGCACAGGAGCACATGTAAAAGGATAGATTTTTTTTTTTTTTTTGAGTTGGAGTCTCACTCTGTCGCCCAGGCTGGAGTGCAGTGG